CATAGATCTGCTATAAATAAATAGGTACAAAATATTTAATTGAAAATTGGGGAAAATCGGGGATTAAACCTAATAAAACGTTTGTTTGTGGAAGGAAAAGGGGAGATCTCCCGCCGGGCAAGGTGTTATGCCCAGGGAGCGGCCATCACTCCGTGTGATAATTCGGAGCTATTCTATATATACTATATATTCTATAATATATTCGATGTGTTTCGCTTGTGGCGCGACGACAGTGCTACCACATCACCCCCCTGCCCCCTGCTTAGACCGAAGGTCGATAGTGCAGTCCGATTGCCGGTGTATCCTCAATGCCGGTGGGGAATGCATGCTGTGTGCATAAGGGCAAGTGACGCTGGCGTGAACGATATGCCGATGTGTAATGCATGCCATACTACGCACTGGCAAGTGATGCCGTTGAGAACGATGTGCCGGAGCAAGTGCCAGAAGTTTGCCTTATTAATCTGCGGTGAGTCGAGATGAAGAAAAGCGGGACTGACTTGCAGGAACTAAAGACTGCATAAGACGATTCTCAGTACCTAGTAAATGGTAGGGCTTTTTGAGCATAATGACGAAAAGCTTGAAGCTGTAGTATCCGAAGTTTGTTAGTTGCGTGTTCAGATCATGTCGGTTGGTCACCAGTTTGGTGATGGAAGAAAAAGGGGAGATCTCACGCCGGGCAAGGTGTTATGCCCTGGGAGCGGCCATCGCCCCTTGTGATAATTCGGAGATATTCTATATATACTGTTTTTACTTCGGAACTTTAATAGCGTTATTTAGGCTTCGATGTGTTTCGCTTGTAGCGCGACGACAGTGCCGCCACCTATTTTATTTTACCATCTATTTTATGTTGCCGTCAATAGAGCACAAATGAGTACCCTACGAACTCAATGATCGCCAGTGCAAAAAACGTACGTACATAAGAAGTATGTACCATCAATGTCCTTGAGACTTCTTCCATGAGTATTAAATTTAGATCATTCGAAAATCATCTTAATTTGTTCTTAGAACCAACACGTATTCCAGGGTCAGTGCAACTTGTATCGATAATATTTTACTGATGTTGAGCCTTGCATAAATTAATTATTCAAAATTTAATTTCTGATTATTGTGGACAGTTGGTTTCACTACATTGCATGCACTAAAAACAGAAAGTTAAGAAAGTTGTACTTGTTCCAATGACTCAACATCGCTCAAAGAGATTTAGAAGTAATATAGTGAAAACTATGCCATATCTTCCACATAAAAATAATACTATTTTTTAGATATTTAAAAAACGACCAAAATTCAACTCAAATTAAGGGGAATAAAAAACATTGTTAATATTCTTTTTTTTTTTTAAAAAATAGATTATTACTTAAACTTATAAGTCTTGAATTTAATAAAATATTCACTTCGAAAACACTCTCTTTAAACAGTCGCAAATCATTTAATGATTGGGCGACAGAAAGAGTCCATAAGAGTAGACAAAAGTTACATGACTTTAACAAAGAAAAATCATATAATCATAGTTTTTCATTTAGAGAATATGTAAAAAATATGCCAGAATATTTAAAAGAGTGTGTTCCACAGCCAAGTCTTTATATTTAAGCTTAAGGAACAAAATTAAGAATGCCTCTAATAAAATTAAAATGACTTGTAGTATAATCAATAGCGAAAGTGGCTAGATGAAATTACACAACGCAAATTTTGAATTAAATTTTAATAATAATTTAACAAAACTAGATCCAGATGTTGCAACAGCTTTTGAAAAACATTTTGATGACATTGCGATTTTGACTACAAGTTACTGAATTCCTCCCTTACCGTCGCCGAGTCATTACACAAAAAAATTGTAAATGTCTGGAGAAAAATTGAATTTCATAAAATATTATCAAGAGATATTATAAGATAATATTTCAAAACTATTGATTTTAAGCCAACAGTAGATCTATGTTTCCGTTAACGTTATTGCGTCTAGATGCAACGGAACTCCAACTTGCTATTATTTTCAATACTGATATATAATTTGGTGTGTTTCCTGATTTAATTAAACATAGTAAACACATACACATAGTACATTGAACCCCACTAATTTTAGACCTATTTTTGTAGTGACAACACTCGGTAAAATTTTTGAAAAAATTATTCCAGATCAAGTTGCTAATTTTTTGAATGTAAATAAATTACTCCATAAAAATCTGTTTGGTTTTATCATGGGTTGCTCGACAATTGACGTCGGTGTTTGGAGAATTTGGAGAATGCTTTGGGTATATTTTGTAATCTTTCGAAGGCTTTCGACTACGTTCACCATGAGACATCAATCAGGAAGTTACATTATTATGGTGTAAAAAATATAGCACGCAAACAGTTGTTATTCGTGGGAGTAGTTCTTCCGGATCGGCAGTATCTACGGGTGTTCCTCAGGGCTCAATTCTTGGCCCTTTGCTGTTCTTAGTTTATTATAATATCTTACCTTACTAGGGAATAACCATGATATATGATATAAATACCAGTGTGCTTATAAGTGGGGAGGAGCTGAGCCTTGTTGAATTCACTATCTTTCTCTTACGGTTCTGCATCATTTGCTGTAAAAAAGATTAGATTGATGGAGAAGCTCGCACGTCTCCAACCAGCTTTGGTCGATCGCTCGCCGCTGTTCTTGCATGACTTTGCGCGACCTTATACTGCACAATAGATTACGGACAGTCTTCGAGTTACAAGTGCTGTGGTTGGAAGCACTCCAACATCCGCCGTACTCACCAGACTAAAGTCTTCTACTTTTTCCAGACTTAAAAAATTAAATACCTAAGAGGCAGTACAAACTACAAAATTCCTTTAAAGAATTTGTTGCCTCACATCCTGTTAGTTTTTTTAAGAATGGCATCAATAAAATGCCACTGCCCACTGCGTTGGCAAAATGCATAGATTACTTGAGTGATTACTTTGATTAATAGAAATAAAAAATATAGAAAAGAAAGACCTTAAGTTGACCTATTTCATACAAAATAGGTAAAATTTATATTGACATCCTAAAAGTTGTCTCAAAACCTACATATGGTAGGGTGTACGCAACTAATTAATTTCAAGGTCAAAGGTCACAAAAGTCGGTTTTTTGCGTTTTTTTTTGTAAATATCTCATTTCCTATGGTTTTTTTGCTATTTGTATTTATTATCAATATTGTAGAATACAAAATTTTCTACAAATTTTGTTTAAAATTTTTTTATACAGTGAACCGTTTTCGAGATAGAGGGCTGAGAGCGCGCGGTCACAGCATCACTGCAGGTCAACCGGTGCCTCCGGTCGAAAACGCGCCATATATAGTTGATGAACCATCGGTAAATCAATGATTGTGAATATTTATCAATTTTTATTAACTATTATATTATATTTGATCATTTTTTTCTTAACCTATCCACATTTTATTCAGTATTAATTTATTTAACAACACTTACCTGCCCATGTAATTGCAGAATTGTTAATGAAAATATAGGAATTAAATTAATAGGAGAAAACGGTTCACCGTATAAAAAAAAATTAAACAAATTTTGTACAAAATTTTGTATTCTACAACATTGATAATAAATACAAATAGCAAAAAAAACCCATAGGAATGAGATATTTACAAAAAAAGCGCATAAAACTGATTTTGTGACCTTTGAACTTGAAATTTAATAGTTCCGTACACCCTACCATATGAAGTTTTTGAGACAACTTGTAGGGTGTCAATATACAAGTATTTACAGACTTACAGCTGCGTATCTCGAATTCCGAGATTCTTACATAATTTAAGCTTAAATGACTGGACTAGTTATACTGTTTGTCCCAGGTAAACTCGTCTACAGGTTCAAGCTTAGTGATCCCAACAACCACCGGCATAGGTGTGACATGAACATCTTTGTTTTGTTCATGTTCGTCATAAGACCTACCCGTTAGGAGGCACAATTGAGGTCATGGAGCAAAGTGATTAGTTCCTCCAGCGATTCTGCCATAAGGACTATATCGTTGACAAACCGAAGATGAAAACGTCTTCCAATTCAGCGGAAAGCTCCCGATGTTCGTTATTTAGCCACAAAGGTACTTTATTAATAAATACTTACTTATATTTTTCTTTAGTATTCAGTTTACGAAATCACAAAATACAGTCAATATATTGTTTAAAAATATATTCATCAGATCCAATTCCATCAACTAGCAAACGCCATTGTATAACACCTTTGACAAATATACATGAACAATTATACGAAATTAATAATAGTTTGTCTCAAACAGTAAATATGCAACCTAAAACTACCCCAGTTAGTATAAAAAACTTTTTTGAGAAAAAAGAATCTAAATAACATTACAAATTCCCTTGACCCTCTCTTCCACACTTGTACCAATTTCAATGTATATGTGAATTATAACTTTTATAAGAAATAAATGATTAGTTAGTTGAGTTTATTGTGTTTTTATTATTTTATTAAATTGCTTTATTATTTCGCAACTGTATTAAAAACAGTTGTTCAGTATACGTGCGGAACCATCATTGCAACTTGTTCCGACTGTCAACCCTCACCTTCGGCTGCGCCACACGTAGACATTTGTAGGAACTCTTTGCAATGACAGGCTTTCCGCACTCGTAATGAAATATACTATTTTTGTAAAATTGAATGACAGGTAAGTAAGGTTTACCGTTACCGTTATATCCTATTAAAATCCACTGCCGAACATAGGTCCCCATCATAGATTGTCTCATAGGAAGGATATTTGCCATAGATGGCACTCTTGGGAAGCAGTTTGGTAACAGCAGATTTTTTTTCATTTTAGTCGTTATTAAGAAGACACTGCTGCCCATCTACTGTTTAGTTTCCCTCTGTCGCCTCTTTCGACGCCCACGGGATGAGTGAGCGGAGTTAGAATATCCACTAGCCCATGTAGAGGATATTCTTACTCCGCCACTACACGATAAAGTTAGTTAGGTTAAACGGCAATAAAAAGAATGGCAACAGTGTAATTTATTCGTATACCACAGAATAATATTTTAAATATCCATCATTTCTTCCATGCGTATAGAATAGGGCACGTCGTGCACTGTAGTCCAGTTGACCGTGTGAGCCCGTGAAACCACGTCGGCAACGGTTTGGTCCTTAAACTCTTGCCAGCGGCGCGCCGATACAAACTCTCTGAATAGTTGCTTCTTAGTCGGTATCTAAATACATTTGCTTTTATAGAACACAAATATTTTTCGATATTTTGATACAAAGAAATTGGAACTATTCAGTCCCATTCTAGATGCGGAACTTGGGAAAAGCTAAAATAACTCAAAGCTCTAAACAGCGATACCGTAAAAATAAGCAAGCGATGTCCATTTTTTTACATTTACGTCTATCTCCATCCATCTATCCATAACAGCCTATAAAAGTCCACTGCTGAACATAGGCCTCCCCATAGGTTACCTCATAGGGGGGGGGCAGGCTAGCAACCGCAGTTTTTTTATTGTTTTGAGTTGTAGTCAAGAAAGTGCTGCTGCCTATCACCTGTCACAGTTTCCCTCTGTAGCCTCTTACGACACTCTCGGGACGATATGGGGTAGTGAATATTCTTTACGTCTGTCTAGAAGAGTAACTAAGCATGCCGCATACGGTCCCACAGCAGCGTACAATCCTCTTCTTCCTTATAGTTATGAGGCAATCCAGTTCGAATTGGCAGGAGTTACATAATTCCACTTGAATACATTTAATATATTTATGTAAGTTCCATTCGTACGTACGTACGCTCTTTACTATGTATTTAAGATCTGCTCAATCTCTTATTGTCTATATGGGCTGTATTTGTCTTTCAGTAAGATTCAATGACAGATGCCTCTGAGGTCTGAGATGAAATTCATGGTTGTCAGTAAAACAGCGTTTGCTGGTTCTTGTCATTAATTCCATACAAACGAATGATAAAGAAGAAAAACAAAGCATTATGCTGTTATTTTGTAAAAACGTGGCCCTTCTCAGACCGAACGACTCGCTGAAGCCGTATTCTGCGAAGCCCGAGCGTGTTTTTTTTTCAAAATTGGCAACATTACAAACTTGTCACTGCCTTATAATCGCCCACTACACGTACGATTTAAAAGATGACGCAAGACTCGAACCTTATTCGGCAGTAGCCTGGAGCCTACGTATTACTTTCCTTACGCCCATTATGCTTTATTCATAAAAAATAAGGACACGCTTGAATGTTCAAAAACACTATTCTATTGGTTTGATTTATCAGTAAAAATTGCTACAGTGTACAATTATAGTACGATACTGCTACTGTTCCCATGTCCCTAACACTTTTTCTATCAGGAAAAGTTACGAGAAAACTATGATCGCTTCGCCAATTATACGCCCATTTACGACTGTCTAGTAAAAGCATCTTAGTGCAAAGTAACATCTATATATATTATTGTTAGAAAGCAACATTTAAATAAATATACATACAATTAGATTATTGGTCCAGGCTAACTTTCATTATGTTATGTTTCTCGTCCTAAAATAGCTATTTACATCTTTCTGATCCACGACGAATATCGACTGCATATATTAATATGTTTTTTTTTATATTCTACTTGGCAGAGCCACGCTGCAGCTATATTATGGTTGCATTACGAATGGATCGGCTCGACTGGTGTAGAATTAAGCTCTCATAGAATACCAACGTAAAACAAAAGCTTAATACCACTGTGTTTCGTGTGGTGAGTGTAGAGAACCGGAAACGCTTTTTATTGGAAACGAGGCGTTCTATCTTCGTCCTCAAATGTGACAACGCATCTGCATTTTGTTTCTTAATCGAGGTGAAATACTTATGTACCCACAGTATTCGCTTACCATCAGGTGGACGGTATTCTAGGAGTAAAAGTATTCTGTGGATGATATGGTGGTTTTTCACCATCATTCTATGCAACAAATAAAAAAATGACCGACGGAAACAAAAAGTAAATGACAAGAAATGTTAACTGTTCACCAACTTTCTTTTCAAGGTAGTGCTGAATTCGTGACCAGATATTTGCAGTGTTCCTTTGTAACAGCCATATTTTTGGTAAAAGCATACAATCTACTGGTGTAAGCGCTACAATGCGTCTGTCTCGCATATTTTCACCAAACCCAAAACTGGATCCTGGGTTAAACTGGCACACCTACAATAATCAACTTACTATATTAGATGTGACACAATTTTTAATTTATTTCAATAAAATCTAAATATATTTATAAACCTGCATAAAGTAGGTCCGAATATTTTTTGGATGAGGTTGTATATCTTCAGGAACAACACTAAGTCTGTAAAACAAGAGAAGCGCTTTGTTTACATCCAACTATTGTATTAAACTATAAAACTATTATTAAAACTAGCACGGGCAAATTAATGTCCAAATCTGGCTAAATGTCAACTAATTTTCAAGATGGTTTTGTTTATGAGTCCAAAAACGTACAGACACTTACGTACTTCGTAGTCGAAAATTCTCAACACCAAAGAGTTACAGAATTAGAAGATATGTACAGAGTGGGCAAAAAGTCCTGGATTAAACGAAATAGAAAGATAAAGGAGATCATTTCCAACAAAAAATATTTCTACAGCATGGTCATTATTCAGTTGCCCTAAAAGCTCATTTTGAATTGAGCTAATTTACTGAATTTTGCACCTTGATATGAAAAAACGATCATAAACCCAGAATTACTAAACAAAGAAAAAATACACCTCATTTGAATCGGCATTAAATCAGTAAGTTTTTCCGGTATTCGATTCGATTCGATTGACGGATTCGATTTTCGAAGCACACTTTTTTCCTTAGTGAGAGAACAAATTTCTTGTAACGCTTCCAAATTTTGGAAAAAAATAATTGCTCTTGCAATTTAGTACTAGAAGTAGCTACAAAATTATCTAGTAATAATATAACTCCGTTTTTTTATTGTTTTATATCACTTTTTTTAATTAATCTAATTGTAAAAGAACACGATATTTTATTTCAAGGTAAAACAAAAATATTATACGTATAATTTATTGAAGCTATTTGTTTTTGATTTATTTTAATAAAATAATAAATAATAATAAAATTATAATTCTTAAAAAGTTAAATGTTCTCAAAAGTTTATAAGTTGAATGAGACTACTTTTATGGGTTTTATTACGATTAATAAAAACCGATGAGTCATGTTGGTCAGGAATTAAAAATAAGTTAAACTTTTTTCAATTAGTTGGAGTTCGAGACAGTCATTCTACGTATATCGGACCAAAAGTACATAATAAATAAAAAGCTGAAGGTACTCCGGGTTAACTTTGACATCGGCACGTCAATCACCTCAGTGCCCACCCTCCTCGTGACCATGGATGTTGCAAAGCATCCGAAACGACGATAATTAAAAATAAGTTAAATTGAACTCGATAAAATAGGTAAAAGTGATTTTATTCAATGTGTAGTGTTCGCGTAAATATAATAAATCAGTTTATGAGATATTTATATTTGACTTTAAACAACATATTATTACTTTTAGAAAAAGCAAGTTAAAAATTTACTAACGAGTAATTAAGATAAATAATTAAGATAAAAAAAAATACTTAACAAAATAATAATATCATATTTTCATGTCTTTGACGTGGCACTCTAGTACCACCTCTTTCCATTTTATCGCATACAGCGAAAAGCGGCTTGAATCGTCGGCAATCGAGTTCTTTCAGATTAGTTTGATCGATTGACCTTGAAAAGAGACATTATATCTCTTTGCATATTTTATTGAACTTACTATAGGGACTGCCCCGAGAAGTTTTTTTAGGCGTTTATAATTTCAGTCACTAGGTCCCACCAGAGATTAAATCCACCTAAATTCCACCCTCGTCATCTCGACTGTTGGTAATCCATACTGCAAATTCATACTGGATTGCCAACAATCGAGACCACAGTGTGCTTTCTCAAGAATTTTCTGCCACACACGACAGCTATTTGAAATTTACGGTCGCCGACAGTTTTCCAAAACTCATACAACTTAAGAATATTTAAGAAAAGTCTACTATTTTCTAAAATTCTGGCAACACACGTGAAATTCCCCTAGCCTTGCGTATGTCTATTCGCGACGCTAATCACCTACATCAGGTCCACTGCATGCCCGTTTGTCCCCCTTTCTAAAAGTATTAAGCATCAATCAAAAAAATGTAAAAGTAAACTAACCTGATTGATTCCCGAACACCTCGATCAGAAGGTTTCAAAAGGTCGTGGGACTTTGATGTTATCTCTGAGATTTCGTGATGTAAATGGCTGCTTCCTATACTTTGTTTCTGTACACCTTCATAACTAACAGATATTTGTGCACTATGATGTTTTATAGAACTGGTTTTACTTTTTATCGCACTAGGGTGAATCGATACAACTCCGGCACTAGTTGAAGTTCCTTCTCGATTGTATTGTTTCAATTTAGATTGGTGTTTTTCTGAAGATATTTCACGTGATGAGTGACCCTCAACAGTACTTTTATTAAAATTTTTGTAAGCTCTAAAGTATTTCTTATCAAAATCTTGTTCACTTTCTTCATTTGGTACCTAAAGGTATTCAACATAATTTATAGTAAATAAATTAGATGCTTCTAGAATATCCAACACAATAAATATTTATATAACCACTAAGAAAGCGCTAACGCTTGTTTAGTAAAATAACAATCTGTATAATATCGCAGCATAGTACACAAGTAACAACCGTTGGAGTAGATGTCCACTAGAGTGGAGACAGTGCTTAGGTAAAAGAAATATTAGAAGTCCTCTAGCTAAATGGAGCGACGATCTACACAATGAGTTTGATAGGAACTTGATACATAAAGCCGAAATTCGAGCTATGTTGCATGCCTTTGGAAACACCTATATATCATAATCATCATCAGACTGTCGCAAACTGATGATAATAATGACGATGATGATTTACTATCAAGCACAATGATTTGCTGATTGCATGAATTACACAAGCATTGTAATCATTAGGGAAATAACAAAATACATAAATGAAAATAATCCCTGGGAATGAGGTGATCGACACCATGGTGGTTCTATAAAAATTCATTTAAAATTGTACAAACAAAATTATTGCAAAGTGAAATATATTTTTTTTAAAGTCCCGCTGAGTTTCTTGCTGGTTTTTCTCAGGACAGAGTTTTTTTCCGAACCAGTGGTAAATTAAAAAATGACTTTCAATAAGTATTTTGCAATATAAATAAAATAATATATTTTGTATATTGAATAAAAATCATTCATTTCATATCATTTCAGTTGACTCAACACTTCTTCTTCATCATCAACAGCTCGTAAAAATCCACTTCTCCTTTTAGGGAATGTTTGCTTTAATGAATGCTCTCTGCGGATAGATTAGCGGTCACATTTTTGACACTCGCAACTTTGACACTGCTATCTGCTACCCTTCGCCGGTCTGGACATTTTGAGGTTAAAGACATTTATTTATCACATAAATAATAACAGTATACATTTCGCTTAACAATGATAAATAGTAAAAACTTAAAAATATACAAGTATATAAAATTTAGTTTTACGTTATACCGCCATTGAATCGGTAACCATATAATTTATTTGGCAATTCAAATAGGCGAGTTTTATGACACCCACGAGACACAATGGTGTGTTGGATAGTCTTACGCCACCACCAAACAGTAAAATACAATGTAAATTGGATTGTTGACCTTGAAAGTGTGAACACGTAAAATTCTGGCTACGGTTAAGATAGTGGGAATTATTCCCGTACAATCAGGAATTCTGCAGCAACTTGTAAAATATTGATGAAATAATCAGATTACTTACAAAAGGATCATATAGCGTGTAATAATTTCGGCCGAGATGTGTAGTTACAGTCACTTGTATAGATTCAATCATCTGACAGCGTCCTGATAAAATAAAATAGACAAAATTGGGCACGCCCACGCCATCGCCGAGCACCGTCTCATTAGTTTCGTACGACTTCATTTTTGCCATGATACAACCTTCACGGCGAGCCACCTACAAATATTAATAATTTTCTATTCCTGGCCCTTTAATAGGATTTTCAAATCCAAGCCATAATTACTTACAACACCACTTATTATCGAATTAGTCAAGTCTTATCGAATAGAAACCGGTTTTTAGCAATACCAAACAAGCATATAGCCTAAGACAAAGGACGAGTAACTCCATATAGGGAAAGCTTCTTGGGTTGAGTCAGTAAGAAACTATATCAGTGCCCTGAGTTAATTGTGTTACACTGCAGCGGAGTGTGGTTTGCATAGCAACAGCGCGACTTAGACATTTTAAATCCACGGGCTGACAATCGCTTTCATTTCTTTTCATGCAAGGGAGTTCTCGCACTTGTATTGCTGTTTGTAATAGATAACCGAAGTTCTTGGCACAAAGATGCACTACCACCTTGTTAATAATATTAAAGTACAAATTAATAATAAAGTACGCTTTCACCTCATCCAGTGCATCGAAATAAGTGAAGGCTGACATTGCACTTCGCACTTCATCCCATTGCTTCTGTATGGAAGCTTGAAGTACATTCTTAAAGTCGTCTTTCATCAGAACCAACAACTCGCAGTGACCTAATAACCAATATAATTATAAAATTAAGTATAAAAGAGAAAATTGCCTCTACCTTAGTGACGCAAACCACAGACTACAACATGATGGCGAAGTAAACAAATAAATTGCTAAGCTACTATCATAGTTTGATCGATTGTCGTATGCTGGTAGTTAATTAGTACCAGTTCTGGCTCACTGAGTCAGAAGTGGTACAACGTTCGTCGACTCACGATCCTCAATGAAGGTTTTGGCATGCTCTGATCACGATTCTGCGGTCCGTTTTTGAGTAGGGTGCACGGTTCCGGAGATATGCAGATCAATTAACTTTTATCTAATTGATATCCGGTGAGGGTCTCCACCGTCATTAGGACACCATTGTTCTTATCTATTTATCTATTGTTCATTGAATACTGTCATTATCTATTCTTCTTCAGCGTGTGCGTCGGATTATCAGTGCTATTGTATTATACTCCTTTGTTCCTAACTGCAACGCTAATCTGAATCATCAATAAAATACATTACCTAATTTTGTTACAATTTTTATATACAAAATAAAAAATCTTATTACTTATTATCTATAAAATAGGAGCGAAACATCTCATCCACTAAAATATCGTCGTACAATGTGTTCCCCCTGTAAATATACTCGTAAAACTATACATTGAACATCCCTGAAACTTATATAGCAAATACATTAAGCAATATTCGCCACAAACTGAAATTCACTCATTCTGAATCCTATCAACATTCCAGTTCCATCTTTTACAATTCCTTTTTAAAAACTCTAGATGATATCGTACAGGTGCTCGTCCATATGAATCAAAATATTGACCGACGTCATTCGTATCAATATATAAAGCTACCCAATATGACCCTGGTTTATCATCTGTATCCAAATTGCATATTATATACGTTGGTACGTGGGTGTACATGGGCAGTCTATTGGCAGCATAAACATTATTTTCTAGACTGGAGTGAATCTTTTTCAGATGTTGTTGTACATCTAGTGTATCCATGATATTACTGCTATTAGTAGATTATTACAGTACAATCTACTCAATGACTAACATAGAAATGATCAAATATGGTTTCTAAATATTGAATTGCATTATTTTGTGTTATACAAAACGTATTTGAGTCATCAATACACTGAACAAGACGCAACACGAAGTAATGCTGAGATAAGCAACAGAATGTGAGATAAGCTTGTTGACGCATAAAGTTACTATCAATTCCACTGCAGAAATTCTTTAGATTAGAATTATTACTTACTGGTACTATATAAGACCGCGCAACTGCAGTCATGGAGTTAGTGTATGGTCGTTTGACCGCAGTGGATCTATCAATACTACATTTGTGTTACTTCAACGCATCAAAGGCCATGGATGTAAGTGTTTATTCTATTGACAAACTTACTTTTCTTTCTTTCTTACGTGTGTATGATTTAGTGTTAACAAATTATATTTAAATATTGTGTGTGTATATGATTAAGCCGTGGTAGCTCAGATGGTTAGCGCAAGCTGTAAATTTCACAGTACGCGACCCAGGTTCGATCCACGCCGACACCAATTAAATTGTTAATTGCAATTTTAAGTGCTGATTTACCACGTGCTCGGCGGTGAAGGAAAACATCGTGAGGAAACCTGCATGTCTGAGAAAATTTCGAAGGCATGTAAAGTTCGCCAACACTCATTGAGGCAGCGCCGCGGACATTTCCTAGCCATAAATACAAAGACAATAGCAGAAAGTGAAAAAGTTAAAAAATACTTTTTTAACAATGACAGTCATTTGTTGATCATTAGTGAATGTGATTCTGTTTACTTAAATTACAGGAAGACAAGAGCTGAACGAAGAAATGGGATGATGGGAAGTAATGAAGCATTATTATGTAAAGTTTGTTGGAACAAACATATTTTTAGTCACGGTAATATTTTTAACATTTGATCGAAAATGAAAAATGCCTAAAAAATATGAGAACATCATCGACATGGACGGATTTTACATTACATATCCTCATAAACATTTTCAATGTAGAGAAATGGCTATTCTAGACGTAAAACTATCTAATAAAAATGATGCGTTTATCGATCATTATTTGTTTCGGCCAAGTTATCCTTTCAATTATTTGTCGCCAAAAGACAAAAAAAAAACTGTTCGTTATTGTGAAACACACGTGCATGGCATTCCATATTTTGACGTGATCGAAGAATTAAAATATAACAACCAAGAGAACATCATTCCCATATTAAATTGGTATATTAGAAATTTGTGCAACGACGAAGTGATCGCATACAAAGGTGGTTCAACAGAAAAACAATTTTTAAAAATGTTGACGACGAATGATAGAATTTTTAATATTGAAGAATACAAATGTCCAAAATACAATGATTTGGTAAATGTCATAAATTTAAACAAACGTTATTTGTGTAATAATCATATATTTGCATAAAATAATCACAAAATTTTACATTGTTCCTGTGACGAAGTGTGGGTTTTTACAAGTGGTTATTGCTTGAAAATAAAATTTTAAATTAATCATAAATTTTGTTTGATTTCCCAAAAACATTAGTTATAGTACACAATATATATTAACTGTTTACACCAACACTTTCATATTTTATTTCACCCCTTAGAACTTTAGAAGCGTGTAATGTTTCACTTTATACATCCGTTTACTGCTATTGTGGCAGGACCAAGTGGATGTGGGAAGTCAAATTTTGTAACAAATTTCATAAAATCAGTTACAGAAATATGTAATTGTGATTTTAATCAGATCACATGGTGCTTTGATGAAATGCAACCTTTATATAATTTACCAAATGTTAACTATCATCAAGGAATTCCAAATCTTAGTATGTTTGATGGTGAAAACCCACACTTGGTCTTATATAGTACCAGTAAGTAATAATTCTAATGTAAAGAATTTCTGCAGTGGAATTGATAGTAACGTTATGCGTCAACAAGCTTATCTCACATTCTGTTGCTTATCTCAGCATTACTTCGTGTTGCGTCTTGTTCAGTGTATTGATGACTCAAATACGTATTGTATAACACAAAATAATGCAATTTAATATTTAGAAACCACTATAATTGATCATTCCTATGTTAGTCATTGAGTAGATTGATACTGTAATAATCTACTAATAGCAATAATATCATGGATACACTAGATGTACAACAACATCTGAAAAAGATTCACCCCAATCTAGAAAATAATGTTTATGCTGCCAATAGACTGCCCATGTACACCCACGTACCAACGTATATAATATGCAATTTGGATACAGATGATAAGCCAGGGTCACATTGGGTAGCTTTATATATCGATACGAATGACGTCGGTCAATATTTTGATTCATACGGACGAGCACCTGTACGATATCATCTAGAGTTTTTAAAAAGGAATTGTAAAAGATGGAACTGGAATGTTGATAGGATTCAGAATGAGTGGACTTCAGTTTGTGGCGAATA